TACTGCAGTGACATTGTACTTTATATTTTTTTTTAATCAGAAATGACTAAAACATTAAGAAGAAAACTTAATGATTTTAAAATCTGAGCATGAAAAATAACTGAGCCCCAATAGACTGTGAGGAGATCATAACACTACTGAAAATCCATTCACACACGAGGTGAATGAGTACCTTTGCATTATACTGAAACGTGGTACAGTTGATTTTATTTTCTCTTACTGGTTTTTGTTTCTTACATGATGTTTTCTCTTGAAAAAGTCAGGCACTGTTTCACCATCTGTAAATCTTTTCAGGATAGTAAATAAGATACTTTAGCTAAATCAGTAGATAGCTAGGTAAGTAGACAGACAAGTTGATACAGTAGGTTAAGGCTTTATAATATACTTTTAATAATTGTTTATGTCAAACAATCCTATAATACATTGAATTTCACAAACCACATTTTTACAATATCAAAGAAGTCTCAAATCTCATTTGATATATACATATACATTTAAAGTACAATACAAAAGCCAGATATACAGTATCTAACATTAATGAAATGCATATCTATCCCTATAAACTAGACTGACAGATTAAATAATCCACAACCTTTAGAATTAATAAAACACTTTGATATTACATTTATGTGATCATTCCCTTGTTGTCTTTTCTCTTGCACCCAAAGCTGAAATGAGAAATATAGGTGCAACCAGACCTCTCTTTTGAGTCGCAGATAAGAACTGAAATTTAAATATAATCTAAGAAATATCACTAAACACAGAAGTATTCCTCTCTTTCTTAAAGTGGAGAGACACTTCTGTGTATTCTAGGCCTGTTCTATACTATCCATAGTTTGTACAAGGTATTTCTTCTAGTTTTACTAGAGCCTTCTGCTGTGACTTATGTTTACAGTATAGTGTCCCCATCACTATACTGGGGCATTAGGACTCACATTGACTGCAGGGTGAGCTTCCCCTGCTGGCCCCACTAACACCTCTTCCAGCAGCAACCTTAGTTTTTCCCAGGAGTCTCCCATCCAGGTACTGACCAGGCTCATACCTGCTGAGCTTCAGTGAGTTGCCTGTTGTGAGCTGCAGAGTGATATGGCTGCAGGCAGTACTGGGCAGCTCCATCCTAGCTGAGCTGCTAAAGCTCTAATGAGATCAAACTGGATCACGGCGCTGCTTGCTGTCTTAATAGTCACTAAAAGACAACTGGAAGAGAAACTGCTAAAAGGTAACAATAGCTAAACATTTACCCTGAGCACCTGGAAATCTTGGCTATCGACTTAAATTAAATTATATCAGAAAGAAGTGGGCCTGTGCTTTTTCTTGAGCTACTAACATTTTTAAACAAATTAGGTCATTTCCTTCATTGGTGCAGAAGCGACTTCATTACCAATATACCAGATGTCCCCCATTATTAGATCAGTGTTTGCATAATCCAGATGTGGTTGAGGCAAATATATTATTTGGAACACATCGTACAGCTTGACTTAGATAGTTTTGTCACCATACTGTACACTATACTGTATGTGAGGCACTCTACACTGTTGTATGAACTAATATAAAACACACTTTTCATTTTACCTGTATTCTGAGGAACCTGAATGACTGTTTCTGCCAGAGAGCTACATTTTCCCCTCTTTCCATAAGCTTCAAGGGTCATGGACTGCCTTTAATGACTTCAGGATAAATAAGACAGCCATGCAAGACTTGAGGGGGAGGAAGAGAGCTGGGGGTTTGCGATATGCAAATGACAATGAACACACATGAAATGTTTCAGCTGCTGAACGTTAAAACTAATCACATGATAAAGCACAGGTTCATTACTGCACTGATAAGGAAAATTTGGTGGGTATGTTTTTTTCTATTAAATGGAAATCTAGTCGGAGTTCACAAAGTGAGCTTCAGACTTCAGGTCTATATCTTCATTGTAAAAGTTTAAAACACAGCACTCCAAAAGTGGGTCAAACATTAATATCTTAAATCAGAAACAATAACTGTATAGCTTTTTACATTTACACAACAGCTGTCATTCGTATTATAGAATTATAACATAGTAGTGTAACATCTTTTTAATTTATATTGCATATTGTAAGTTGGAATTTATATCTGGAAATAAATGTACGTACCCGTCTACTATTCAATAAATAATTAAACTCTGCAAGTGTACTTTGTGACCTTGTTGCATAAAAATGTTAAAACACAGTGTCATGAAATGTGCTATACTGTATAGATAAAATGTAAAGAATGTACAACCATTGAATTATAAGAGACAGATTTGCCATTTATAAATAGGTTTTAATGAATAGGGTACAGAAAATGTCATTTAAATACTGCAATAAATGTTGCTAGAAAGCGAAGCACCTTTATTGTGGATCATCAAAGCAGAAAAAAAAATTGGAAGTACAATGCCTCAATGCCCAAATGAGTGTCTGAGTAATAGCAGTCTTCCACTTCGATAAAAAGAGCCCGGAGTTGTGAAAGCTGGCATTGAAACAAAATGTGCAACTCGCAGGTGTTGAAATAGTACCATGCTGGTGGCAGGGGAAGCACACAGATGCTCTGACATTGAACACACAGGTCAGTAAACTCTTTCGAGCCACTAACTCGAATGTTAAAAGGTACCGTATGGCACAACATAATAGTGCAGTGCCTTATCACTTTTGTAAAGTCTTAGATAATAGCATACTAGTCTCTGTGATAATAGTACTGCTTACAGAAATGTCACAGGACAAATAATGGGAGCAGAAAAGACACTGTGTTAAGGAACTGCATTGCTGTGGATGGGTATGTCAAACCGATTATCACACATGCTATTAAAGCTCTGCTTTTGTTTCTCTCCCACCTGGAACGCAGAGGAAATGTCATTGGCTCCTGTAATTACCTGATCTGAATCCAGGAGAAGACATATGGTAGGAGTTAAAAATGTGAATCGAGTCCAAGACGCCAGCACAGAACAAGAATGATTTGACATACTTGAACAAGGAGGCTTACAGAAGTTTAGCCTTGCAGTATTCCAAGAAACAAAATGGCTAGGTTTTATTCATTTTAGCCGAAGCCTAATTATTTTGTTACATTTAAAAAGCCACCATTTTTTGTGCAAAAATTCAATACAGATAGAAAATAAATATCAAAATGCCACCATTCCTTTGCTCCTCTTCCACCAGAAGATGGCTCCACAGCCAAAATCTTTTTCTTTCGACTTGCATGCAAATAACCTCTACTTACTGTATGTCTTTTCAGCTTGCACGGTGATATAGTTCCCCACTCAACATTATTCAATTATATTGAAACCATCAAATTACAGAAAGCTTCAGGCAACAGTTTAGCCACTGATACTTGATTAGGAAAAGCCTTTCTCCCATGATTCCCCACTCTTTTACCCAGGCGTGGAATGCTGTTTACCTCACTGCACAATGATCTTTTCAGAAACCTTCAGATTAATAGCGAAGACCATCTCAGCTTCCAGCTTCTGAGGCTCCTAATGACACCCTTTTCACCAGAAACCCCTAGAGAAAATCTTCCTTCCTTAACATGGTCTAGTTTTTTTTTCCCCACGTGTGTTTCCTTTTGGATGGGGGGTATTCCAATTGCAGTTGCCGACGAAGTCAGAAGAAAGATGGTACCGTTGTTTTGCAGTCTTGTGTTTATCATTATTAATCACATCCTGAAATAACAAATGTTTTTTTTTAAAGAAAAGATCACTTGGTGACCCGAGATTATTTTCCCCTTGACAGTACATCAAAGCCAATATCTGTTTGGCAAGCAACAAAATATTTTAGTACAAATTAGATCTGTTGTTGGGGGAATGAATAGCAAAAGCCATTCTGAAATGCAGAAGACAAGCCACACAGTGAAGAATCATAGAATAGACCCTTCTTCAGCCTGCAGAAGATCTGGTGTATTCTCTGCCTTCTGACCTGTGGAAGCCATCAGACAGCGAGAATATTAACAGCAGGCAGTGGCATCAGGCTGTAAGCTAACACTATAGTTATAAAAACAACTACATTCCAAAATGTTTTTTTTTTCACATGAATACACACATGGCCTCTGCAGTAGAGACAGTCCCCATTATACACTGGGATTACGGATTTAAAAAAGTAGTGACTTAAAGAGAAACGATGTACTGTAGAGCGTAGTTTTCCCCTATAAGAAGACAAGAAAACACCAGTCCGCCAAACCTTATTTCTCCCAAAAGAAGAGGTGGAGATATTTATTATACCTCTCTCAACTCCAATTTAAAGTTTTTATACAAACTTTCTCCTGGAAGAGGGCTAAGCTAATTGGAGTGTTTTAGTTTTGTACTTGGGTTTCTTTTCAGCAAACCTTTACATGGTTTAGGTTTGTGATTTTCATCTTGCAACGCTAGCAATCGCTCAATTTTTTACATTATCTCACTCCTTTGCCATGTTATTTTTACCTCTAAATGCTTTGAAAGTAGCTTTACATTTATTTCAACAGAAGCTTTTAACTACTGCATGTACAGACACCGGTAGCAAATTGAGAGCACAGTCACATCCATGTCTAATTTAACAGCCAGCTTGATACTGCTAACATTTTTTAGTTTAATGTACAGTACTAACTGCACCAGTACTATGGTTAAAGTACGTTAAACTAGAACAGGCAGGGCAGAGCATCACACAATAACAACATAAGAGAACTGCACTGAGAATTCTGGTACACAAGTTGAAAATTCATTTGGAACGCTCAAGCCCTTAATGTTATAATTGCAGGGAACTTTATGTCAAGCTCCTCAATTCATCAACAACGTAAATACAAAATGATGCATATTATAGCAGGATTACACATAACAGGGACCACTTGTACTATACTTTAGGAACAACTTTAATGTCTGTGTTTTATTAGATTTTTTGTATACCTAGGTTCTATCTACAGCATTCGACTGGACATATACGCTGTTGTAAATGGACACTTGCATATTTCACACCGGGTCTCAAAAAGATTGAATAGGAAAAATAAAAGAAGAGATTACATATGTAAACCACACATCATTAAAGAGTTCAGAGGTGATTTATTCAAATTCAAGTGTGCAATTTCTAACTGTAACAAAGCAAAGTAGAAATAGATAGTACACACAACATTTCTAACAACAACAGCACTTCTTTTTCTAATTCCTGGTGGGTGGAACTAATGCCATGATTAGGAGCTGATCTTCAAAATCATTTTGAAGCAACCGCTATATTAAACCTCAGCAGCCTGCAGAGAATTACATGAAGAACATAAGTTACATAGAACTTGAAACATAACCTATATGTGACCTCCGCAAACTCCAGAATTTCCCATAGCAACCCTCTCACAGCAAAGTTTAATGTTCTTTGACATTTATGCTCACCATATACAATACATGTACTTTTGGGTCTGCAATGCATTTCCCATTTAAGCCACCTTCTAGGTATTCACATTATTTTCCTCATATAAATGTAACATATCCCAAGCTTATACTTTGACCCAACAACATTTCACAGACAAAACCGAGTAGTAATTTTGCTCACTGAAGTTTTACTAAAATTGTGGAGCGGTAACATCTCTTTTCAGATCAATTTAGGGGTATGAAAAGATAGAAACAAATGAATGTTTTTGTATTATTTTACAGTGTTGCAAAATTAACGGACGACAAAAAAATGTTAAGCAAATTTTCTGCGAACAGTCAACACAAACGTCTTTGAAATGAGACATATGCTTTTTATAGGCTTTATGAACACTCTTGCAATGCAAGAACCATGAGAAGAATAAATGAACCCAGAGCTATTTATTAGCATAACAGACTCCTCTTTACAGATTTGGTAATGACTTAGAAGGTATGTACATATCCTTACAGAATTTACACAATAAAAATAAACGTTTCTATTTGACAATGAAGTGTAGACTGCCATACTGTAATGCACATGACATATAAATACTACAACTTATGAGGTCATACTCACAAAACTTTCATTCCATTGTACCACACTATTAGCTGTCAATATAAACAGTATATATGTTGATATAGATGAAAATGAACCACAGAATGCAGATGATGTACTGTTTGCACCACATTACCAGTGCAAAACTGGACAGCTCAATGGAAAAGCTACATGTCATTGAGAATACACCTACTGTGGACTGTAACATGCTTCCACAGCCCATGAATCTATATACAAACAGTATGACTGCATCCACACACATTACAAAGCTTTCCTAATGATTGTAATTCTTTGCATCTTTGAAGTCATACTGATATGGCTGCAAGATTAAATGTCAATGTCAAATGTTTCATGAAATGGCATAGCATGAAAAAAATGCACCTAAAAGAAATGACGCCTATATGTTCGACTGATATAAGCAAAATACTGTACTCTTAAGACATGGGGCCTTGAATGGCACCCATCTTCAATATACTGATTTACTTAAGTTTGTTTCTTTAGCTGGAGGCCAAGTTACATTGCATGTCGACAAGCATGCAGAATCTCAAGACATTGCACATTTAACGCAAAGCAATTGAGAGGCTGTGAAAGTCAGACTTAACCACCAATATAAGATTCACAGACTATATTTTTCAAAATCAAAAAGCAAAGAAAAAAAACCTCTGGGTCCTTTCTCAAACGTGAGACACTTTCTGCGATTCGCGGGCTTGCTTGATGCTATAGAGCCATTTGATGACTCTGGCATTTCTTTCAACTGCAGAGATGCCATAAGGTACTCGTTCATTGGCGTCCTCATCGTCTGTTAGGTCGTCATTGCTATGTCTTGATTGCTCACAGTCTGAACTGATCATGCTTGCGCTGCGAAAGTTGAGAGAAATGATATCCGAGTTTGCCCGGGTGAAGTTCTCCACACCGAAATTTTCAAGTTCTTCAGGATCCAGTCCACAGTAATTAAAAAAACGTTCAACATCTGCACTAGCGCGAGCATATCTGTCACTTAGATCAGACTTCGATCTGTGGAGAGAGGGTCTCCTGCTTACACCACTGTCTGGCTCTCCAGCATCATTTTCCGGCGATTTAAGCGTACTGGAGGCGGTGATGTTGGGCTTAGGCGGCAAGGGTGGTGCAGAACTACTGCTGGGTGTCGCTTTGAATGGCTTGCCATTACATATTCTTCTAATATCCGAAGAACTATGGGACACATGCAGTGATGAATCACTAGACTGCTCTTCAAACAGGCGTTTACTGATATTTAGGTTACTTCCCTGGGGGCTTGAGTGACCTTGAGTGGGGAACACTTTCAGCGACTCCGCAAACGACCGTCGGTTAAGCTCTGTCGATTCCGACCTATGAGGAGCCCAGCTTCTGGCACTATGTTTATGCGCCGTCCCGGAGGAAGATCCCTCTGAACTGTTGATGATATTTTTCAGGATTTCCAGGTTCAGATTCTCTCTTTTCACACTGCTGTCCGACTTGGAGTTATTGTTGGAAGCTTTCAGGGCTGGGCTGCTTCCTGCCCTTTTTGTGACAGGGCATACAGGGGGCTTGGCTAACACTGCTGGCTTCACAGGCTCCTGCTTTGCATTTATCACTTCTTGACTTTTCACATATTTTGCCTTGTCCGCTTCCAGCCTCTCAACCGCGCTCAGTCTTTTAGGGTTGGGTTCTGCCTGCCTGCGGAAATAATCCGGCCCTTTGTTGAGAATGCGGAGAGGTACAGCAGAAGTAAATGTAGTTGCTTGGCCGACAGGCTTGACCATGCTATCTGTCTGTAGTGTTTCTGTAGGCATGTTTAATGGTCTTTCCCCAGCAGCCGTTTTGGATTCCGTTGTAGGCTCTCCTCAGAGTACTGCTTAGAAACATGTACATCAAGCCCGATGAATGGACGATGAATCCTTTCTCCACTGACTGTTAGCAGCAAGGCCTCATCTCACAGCTCATTAAATACCAATGCGTTCTCTTTCAAGGCAGGCTTTGTACAAAAAAAGGGGCACCAGACACAAGTCCGTATTAATCTGCTCGGGTGATTTCTTAAAGCCGAGTGAAAGATGTAGGATTCCTGTCTCTTCCTTTGTGTTCAACACAGGCAGCTATCTGAAACACAGAAAAACCAACCATGTGTTAGCAGCGAAGTGACATCACATGTATAGCAACAAGAAGGAATATAGACAAATGAATGCAGTTGGCTGGTGGTGTTATGACTGATGTGTGAAACACACCTAGAAGCTGCTATATAAAGGTTAACATCGAGAGTGGTTTTCTTCTGGGATGAAATCTGAAAATCAGCCGAATCCACGACTACTTCTCTGTTATGAAAACATTTTCTGTTCACTGAAGGACAGTACTTTTGACATGTAGTAATTCATGGTTAATTTATATCTTTACAATATTTTTTTTAGTTGTTAACTATGCTGGATGTAAATGTATCTGCTAAATAAAAGTTAAACAAATGCCCATTAAACTAAGCTTCATACAAAGCTTTCAGTAAAATAAACTCTGATAATCTTAATTCCTTATCATCTTTTATGGCGGAGCTATTAAAATGTTTTATGGAGCTATAATTCAGAGAGAACAGATTACACTTGGCCTTCACTTGACTTTCATTTAATTGCTATTGCCTTCACAGTAACTGCCCTTAATATAGCCGAACCTGCTAACACAAAGTTTAAATATAGTAATAAAGTAATACTTCTTTAATTCTGTAAAACTTACAGAATTACAAATACATAAAACAAGACGATGGAATTTAAATTGACTGGAATGTGCATTTTCATGCATCTTACAGTAATTTTATTGTACATTGGAAGTGAAAATACTGCTTTGGCCTAGCTTTAACAAACTGAGCAACTGCAAGTGGTCATTTTACATTTGAGAAACTGTAAAAGAAAAATATTAATTAGGGGACTTTTAAACAATCAAACAAGACAAGGAAATCAAGTTATTGGCACGAAAGATTGCATACAGCACTTATAATTATAAAGGATTCTTAAGTTCATTCTACTTACAACACAGTTGGTGTAAAGTCCTTGACAAATTGTACAACGACAAAGCATTATCCACACTACCTCAAAATGTAAGTCTTCTTGAGTGTCAAATTACCTAAGGTAAGCTCCACTGTCTCAAGATAGTGCAAAGTACTAGAATCACAGTTACTTGAGGGGACTTCAACTGTTCATGGCAATACGCAGTTTAAGCTCAGTGAACTGCTGTCTCAAAGAATACCTAAAACAAACACTGTATGCTGCACTGGGCACTAGCTGTTGCAAGGGACCACAGATAAATGATGTCCATGTTTACTTGAGTAAAGAACAAAAAGAGATCAAATAAAAGATAAAACTCTCAATTTTAGCACTAGAAATGCGCTGTAATGCGAGGTAACTGCTGTTACTATAATCTCTGGGTTTTTCAGATGTATGCCACTCTTTAAAACACAGTACTGAGTGAAATAAAGAAGCATTACTCCAGCATCAAAAAAAGATTAGACATGATTCTTCTAAGCATGCTTTGTCATATTTTTTCAAACTATGGATCAGTTTGCAATTTAAAGTTGGGCCATATCTGCAAAGTTTTTTTCAAACTGATAGTTCATCTATTTTGTTACTGATAATTACCAAATGCCACCTTTTTCAACAGGCTACAAATTAGTTTTCACTTTGGAACCCTGCATGATCAGAATAAATGGTTATGGATCATTTCATGTGAAATCAACCTGATTTAGATATGACCACATAAACTTTCCTGATTTTCGGCACACAAGTTTACGTTTTTCTGCCAGTCAAAAGCTCACATTAATATCCCAAAAGGGTTGTGACATATAGTCATTTCTGAACATGTACAGTCATTCTTGAAGAAATTTTAACTTCTGACCTACAGTACAGATGCTATACATATAATTATGTCATTTTAAAGCATTTCATCTTCCATATTTGAAATAAACAAGACCACCTTGTTTTGTTTTTACTATTCCATACGATGTTCTGTAAGCTGTAATGCATGAGAACAGAATATTACAGAGTGCGGCATCTAGTAGTTTAAAATCCTAAAACCACTCATAATGTGGGGGTTAGAGGTTATCACTCGAAGTAAACATTCATCACAAGCAGGAAATTCAAAACAGGTTCGTTCTACATACCTGGCCACCACAAATTAATATAAAAATGAACACACCTAATAGAAATTTAGCCATATTTACAGAGCTGAAATAAATCTGAAACTTTTGAAGACACAGTGGTGAAACGTCTAGAGTATTAAATAAACTTTATTTTATATAGATTAATTAAAGCAGTCTTCTCAAACTACTTTTCAATACAAATAAAGGTCATTGCACAAACTCATATTAAAAATAATCACAAAACAAGTTTTTCTGAAAAAGTAAATTTTTAGACTAAACTTAAGGGCATCCAATGTGGTCGTGTGCCTGATTTCTTCTGGGATGGTACTGTATTCCAAAGATTTGTGACATAGCAACAGAAAGCCCTGTTGCCCACAGTGTACGTGAAACACCGGAGACCAAAAGCAAAACAGGATCAGCTGAGCACAGGTCATGTGGAGATGAGCAACCAGATAATGTTACTGGCTAAGTACAGGGGGGTAATGCTATGCAGAGCCTTTAATTCAAGCAGAAGGATTTTAAAACGGACTCGAAACCCAAGATAGGAGTGATGTAATCACTTGCATGTGGCCTAGTCAGGATTTTAGATGAATTCCGAACACCCTGCAAATAAGTAATTCTAATTTCAGAAACCATGGCGAATAGGAATTTACAACAAGGTTTTCAAAGAACAAATCAGTTCTACGCCTATAGAAGGACAGCAGCCAAGCAATATTTCTCAGAAGGAAAAAAAACAGACCCTTTTTCTTTTTTCTTACCACACAGATCAAAAGGCAATCAAGGATCAAACATCACCCTCAAATTCTTTATTTTGGATTGAAACCCAAAACAGCATTGGTTGTACATAACAGATATGAGGAACCCAATAGCACATTCTCAGTCATTACAATTAAAATGAAAAAAAAAAAGTGTCATGCAACAATTCAGCAGAAATGTAAAAGAAGTGTACTGAAAAACTTACTCAGAGGCAGATTTAGCTGGACAACAATTTAAGTATCATCTGCATAGAAATGATCATTCAGACCAATGTAAATACACTATTTGATCAAGAGGAAACCTATAAAGTGTGTCCAATATTGAACAACGAATCTAACAAACCCAACCTTAGTAAGACCATTTAAGGACAGTACCAGAAATGTCACTCAATCTTTCTAATAGATTAAGTGGAATAGCATGGTTTGGTATTAAACACAGTGCTGAGATCTAAGAGAATTAAGTTTCAGATGATGCACCCAAATCATCTGAAATGAACTAATTACAGTACCTTCACCGTTCAGTGACGTTTCTAGTGTTTTGCAATTCTAAAGACAGATTGTAAGGGTTTCAAAAGTTTAGCGAGAAATATCTATTTAGCTGCATTGCAACAGCACATTCTAATATCTTTGCAAAAAAGGTTAGCAAAAGGCTTCTCAATGATATATAAAGGTTAGGACCTAAGTATTAATACTATTCTTATGTTTTTTTTTTTTAATGCATACTAAGAAACTACTAGAGGTTTGAAAGTACTGTAAGATTTGTTGAACAAATTAACAAACTAATTTGCAACTGCAACAGGGCAGCACAGCACTGAACACATTACAGGATGTGATGTCAACCCCTTGAAAAACAGGCAATGTAGCTCTCAGAGATCCAGGTCTTTTGGAAGAGTTGTTCGCTGTGCAGTTCTGTGTATGCTCTGAGCCCTTGTGCGACCTTAACTGAATCCCAGCAAGGGCAGAGCAGAGCTGCATCAATTATATTGCTGCCAAGACTCGGATTACACAGTCATAAGAACATAAGAAAGGTTACAAATGAGAGGAGGCCATTCAGCCCATCTAGCTTGGCATCCTCGGTAATGAGTAGCTAACAGATCCAAAGATCTTACCCAGCTGTTTTTTGAAAGACATTTGAAAGAAATCGGCTTCAACAATATGCCTACAGTGCTAAAAACGTTCTGTTCCTTCAGCACGTCAGTGCAAGAAATTTCCTTAAATCCTAGAATGCTCCTGGACGGACAGATCCCAGAGCAGCAACATCTTCTCTATAATACGGTGACCAAAACTGTACACAAGTATTTTGTTGGTTAAGGGGAACTGTAACACTGTTTTTACATTTTGAGGGTTATAATGAGTCGTCAATGATGAGTGTATTTCAAACCACAATGAAACTACCAAGTACACACTGTAATGTTTACAACCTCCAATTTACATCACAAAAGAAAGGAAATTTCAAGGTACTGTACTGTATGTAGCACCATATTGCCATTATTGTCTGCAATTCAGAACACGGTAACAAAACTTGCAATAAGGCATAAGTGCCTTTATTATATTTTAAATGTGTTAGACCAGTGTAGATCTACATATGATTTTTCTACTATAATTTAAAAAAATCATGAAACCGACATAAGGGAACATGTTTTTTTTAAATATTGCAAAAAAGAGCAACATTTCAACCAATTACAATGCACACACGTTCACTTTCAGGTTTTCAAAACTACTCTATCATTTACATTGGTGGTTATTTTATGGTACACATCACATCTAATAAAAAACATTCTCGCAGGACTTATATTTTGGGAGGACCTGCTGTGCCATAGCCCATACTGTCACCTGCACAGCTGATTTGAATGAGTGCAATTGAACTAAATTCAACATATCGACTGCAACAGTTTTGCAGACAAGACTATAGTGCTTCTTAACTCAGCATGCAGATCATGTTAAAACATTTCTGGGGATGAAATGTCTGCTGCACACCTGTACTTATTTGATCATATATTACTCTAAACCTCATTAAGAAACTTGTTAATGGGACCAACATTAGTGCCTGTATTTATTTGAAACCCCTGGAAAGGAGAGAGTTTGATCTAACTGTTTGAACAGTTTTGCTTTCTGCTGATCTGATTCTTTGTTTTCTGAGCGACCACAATGTACTGAACAGCCAAATGCTGTGATCAAAATATACACGCAAGTACAAAAAGACAAAAAGGGATTATTATTGTTCGCAGACAATTTTATAAAATGTTGCAATATCAATTACAATACCCAAACTGAGAAACTGGGGATGCATTTATTCCTTTTTCTTGAGGTTTTACAAAGAAGGAAGAGAAATTTAGAATGGAGAATGTAACAGGTAGGAGCAACACTGAAATGTCAAAAACCTAAGACATTGTAGAATTCTCCCTTGTCAGAAGACCACAGGAAGTGTTGCTGTATCTGCTCCTAGCTCTTGATATACAGAGCTGCACCCATCACTTGCTTACTGCAAGGATGTGTGACATTGGAGATGCAGCTGGATGTTCTACACTGCCTCAACACAAATATCTAGATGTCAAACTGGATGATCAAGAGCCTACGAAATCAACAACTACCTTTCTCCCTAGGGAATTTCCAATACGGAAGAGACATTTAAAAAGATCAGTCAGATACAGTCAAATGGAGCTAAAGAAAACTGGAACAAAAACATGAGAGACAAACGGCTCAACTGTCATCATTTGAACTACAGACTGTGACACAAATATGACAACACCGTTAAAAGAGAAATTCAAATATTTGGAATTGATTGAAATATTAACATTTTCTTTCCAAAAAAACTGGCCAATTCAGGAAACACAAAGGGATTTGACTAATCTAATTTCATGTCTTGAAACCCCAACTTGCTTGTTTAGAAAAAGGGGATTCTGATCTATTCTTAAACCTCTGTCTAGAGGATTCTCATCTGACACAAAGCAGTGCAAAGCTTACAGAAATGATGAAATGCAAAGATGCAATCTGACAGATAAGGAGTTCAAAGCAGTTTAGATCTACATGTGATTTATGACATCCATTTCATTGGCCATGAGCAGTGATTTTTGGATGAAAACCAACGCTTTAGAAGGCATGATTTAAATGCACCACAACATTTTGCAAATCAGTAAAAAATGTTTTATGCCAGGATGTTGTCCTTGATGATTATTCTGAGACCTTCTCAGGTTCTTGTTCTTCAGGATGTTACATAACGTTTTATTGGAACAACGATCAAGTAAATTTGCACAAGTCTGTCTGATACTGTATCAATGGTATTCTTTAAAAATGTCAGGCGCTGCTGTGAACTCAGACTCAACACCATAGCAGTGAACCTTTATTAGGGAATGCTCCTTAGTCATCATGTGACATCACGCACCATTCACCCAGTAAGAAATGTTCTATTCCACAGGTGGTGCAGCATGACATTCTAAAAATTGTAAAAATAAAAATACAGGAATTTGGATTTGAGGCAATGAAAAACTATGAAAAACTTCAGAAAAAAAGAGAGTAAGACACACCCAGGCACTTAATTGTAACGTACAGGTATTGGGACGATAAAATGAAAAAAAAACATTACGTCAATTAAAGTAAGAAATTGTTGCTTTATTATCCATTCCATTCATATTCAATTTATAGCAGTCTAAACAATCAGAGTGAAGGAGCCTAGGAAGAATGATGAAATGATGTTGTACTGATTGAACATGGACAGTTGCAAAACAAAGCTGCCCTGGACACCCCCACAAAAGTGAACTATATGACAATATAGTTGTGTTATATGTAATAAATAAATATTACATATATATGTAATATATAAATATTACACCCCTTAATTTGCTTTAAGGACTACTTTGGTGTGTACATTTATTTTCTTCTGTTGTTACGTGAAAATCAATCGGAATCTTTTTAACCAAGAAGGCACAGATATTTATTTTTTTCCTTCAATTTCAGTGATAAATCAGGTTCTAGAGATGCAAACGAATAATGATCTTTTAAATGGCTAGTGCCATCAAACATTATTTAGGCCAAAGCACTAAAACACAGCACTGAGAATAAATGAAATTATGCTCACCCACACAGCTTGAGCAACTGGGCTCCCCAGCTGTAAGCCATTGTCTTCAACATCCCCTCTTCCCCCAAACTGCTTTCAATTCAGCAAAGACAAGGGGAAAAACAGTAGATAGTAGGCACCCATCAGATTTTCAGTACCGTTTGCTTGATCAGTTTGCTTTTGTGTTTTGCAGACTGAGAATAAATGCCCTTGCAGCCTGTTAACAACACCCCCTTGCTTCTACAGCTAGATGCCCCTTCCTTCCCAGCGTTTTGCAGCCTTGTAATTGGGCCTTTAACATTTTTTTACAAGGTAGGGTGACTGGTGAGGGCAGACAGCTGGGGGTCCAGGAAGAAAAAAAAAAAGAGGAAGCTACATGTATGAGCAGCATCTGGATGTCATTAAGTTCTTTTTCCTAAAGAAAAAAAAGACAGATCCCACAGACTAAGGTCACAGGAATTTAAACACTCTCCATGAGAAAACGAGCATATGTAAGCATTCTAATTGGCAACATTAATGTATGCTTTCAAGTGTGCAAATTTCATTAAGATACATACAACATGGTGGCATTTAACACAAATTGTTCAGGCGTTTTATTCGGAACTCCATTACCACTGTTGTTAAATCCCTCATTCTTTTGTTTCATGCTTCCTTTACTGGATTGTCAAGAGGCTTTTCAAAGAGTATTTTTTCTTGAGTGGATAGTGAAACAATCTGTTTTATTTACACCTACACTCACAAACCTTGGGTTCTTTCAAAATTGGGTTTTCTTTCTCCAATTCTTAACACTTTTTGTATTTGCTACGCACTACTTACAATGCACGTAAATGCAGGACAAATGCAGGACAGTTTAGCAACACAAAGGGAATGTTGTGCTTGCTGTGTCTTCAGGGCTGACATGGCTCCAACATATCTTCCCTTTTATACGAGGAAGAACACCACCCGTTTCATTACTTTCTATCAAAACGAAGCACTAACAAAACAGTTTAATTATTCAGAATGTGTATTTCTAACACTAAAAACAAACCTTTAAGAAAAAAATCCCAATAACTTTAAGAAATAATAATCTTTGTTTTTCAAAATCAGCAATATTTCAAACATGTTTACAGACCAGCAGTGTGGGAAGAGTTACTGAACTGGTCTAAAACTTGTTTGAATTCACCACCTCCATCTTTTCTCACTTAACTGGAAATGGTTTCAATCTTGAGATGCTGTGAGACTTTGTCAGATCTGTCTTAAGGGAGATCAGCAAGAACTTAAAACTAAGCAGAAGACATCTTGAATTTTTCTATGTAGAAATGAATGCATATTTGATGCATTTTCTAGCATCAAAAAGCATTACTGAAGAAAATGTTAATGCTAATATCAAATCTTTTTAATGCATACTTACATTGTACATTAACACACACAGTCTTTTAAAGTTAAACAGTGAAGAAATGAAGATAACCTTTTTAAAAAAAGACAAATATTCTACACAAAAGTCTTAAATGTTTGGCTACAATCACTTTTAAGATTTTATGAAACGACTTAAGAAACCTTAAGTGATTAACAGTGATGATGTTTTGCTGTTTTTTACGGTTTTAAGGAGCTTCTGAACAACATTCTTTGGCGAGTTATTTCTGTTTTTCGACATCATAAAACATTTGTTCTCTCATTTCAGAACCTACAGTATATCATATATAAGAATGCATTATCTTTCAAAAATTCTAATGCTGACAAACTCCACAGTTATAACAGATAATATTTAAACATCACCGTCAGGCTTTTAGGACTCAAACCCTATTCATAAAAAGCTATCATGTGCTATTGTTTATTAATACAACGCAAATGGTAAGCTAAGTTTTAATAACCGTGGATACTTTATCATCATTATCCATTTCTATAATTTGTGTTTTTCAGTGACTATTTTTTCTATGGTCATAAATAGCAATGAAATAGCAGTCTATTTGGGACAGATATTAAATCTTAGGTTGTCTGTGTATAATTAGTGACTGCTAATTATAGTGTCAGATTCCATTAGGAAACATCACACCTTACTCATAGTGTACCTTCATAAACCTGTAATCAATCACATTTTGCATTATCTGAAGTAAGCATTACTACAGATGCATTATTAAACAATTTCTTTCATGTTTGTATTTTAATTAAGTTATCATGAGTCCTCATGGTTTGCAAATACTTTGCAATGTGAAGCTGCCTATTTCAATGTCGAATTGAGTTTTTGTATCAGTATATAGATGAATCCATGGAACCAAACGAACTGAAAGTTAATATTCCCTTTTACTGAATATACTGTACGCAATTTAGAAGTAACCTGCTCCCATAAGGTATATTAACTCACATTGGTGTGCAGTAAACAAAGCAGAGATATGATTTCCCCTAATTTGACTTATGGGCTGCACAGTTAAAATCAGGAAATGGTTTCAGCAGAGACTAAGAAGGCTAAATGAATTCCAGCCTCCTCTGTTCATTATCCTCCTCCCCAGTGGAATAACAGCTATGTCTATAATCCAGGGCAGTAACACTGGCCCAGTTCCAGCGTACCTATTTGCTTCGGCAAATATATGCCCATGAATGTCTTCTAAAACTGCAACTTTTCCCATAACGTCACAGAAAGGTCAGGCTTTGCAATGTCTAACAGACAAAAAAATCCTAAACAATAATCTAGTATAAAACTTTTATTACTTATTTACTGTGCAATCTGCATGCCCTCAAACTAGTCCAATGTACTGTGCTTCATTATTCAATTTTGAGGCCTTGTAGAAAATACAACGCAACACTTACTCTGGACAGAACAACAGATGTTTGTAAGGTCAGCAAGCCCTGATTTTGTCTTCTAAAATCTTATACACCAAAGCTGTAAACTTGTTAACAAAAGCATGTAATAAAGGTGGATAATTGTATTCATGTTTATACAAAATAAACAATAGCACATTAAATAACCAACAAGATACTGCACATGAAACAAAGCAATCATGTATTTTTATATGACAAATATGACCTTGGAAACATTTAACAGTTCTTTTTCCCATTACACACTTACCTGTTACTGTACATGTAAAAAGGTGAACTGGCAATATTATTTTAAACAGGCACAGTACAACATATTACTGTTTTTGTTTCTTCTTTTTAAAATCCTTATCCTTTTCAGGGTCTGCTGCACATACAACACTACATGAGAAGCCAAGGTAAGATCCAGAACACAGCACAGAACCCCTCTGGGTTAAAAACACAGATGGGGTCTTGTCCCTTGGGACTCACTACTAGAGTCAGTTCTCATATTTACCACAGCGTGATAAACAGAGTGGATACCACATAGGAAACCTCCTAAGCATTAGAAATGTGGGTACATCTTTTAGATTTCACTGTAAAAAGGCCACCGTAATCTGTGACAGTTGCTCATCTCCAGGATGAAGAGCAGACACCAAAATCAGCTTCTCTTGAGCTTTGGAAAAGGAGTATGTACAGTAGGAGCCGACTCCTCTGTAGGCTTTTACTGTATGAGGAAGATGAAGACAAACACTAAACCTTGTTATATTTCAGGAATATAGAAAGGTTTGTGTACCTGTCTGTTTGTGTAATGTTTTCTGCAGCAAAACTTTAAAACTGTTAGATACATCTGCACCAGGGGCGCCTTGTAAATTAATTCACAAAAGGTTAGAATCTATTTTACATATGGATATGCATTCAAATATATTTTACGATACGTATTTTTTTCTCTTTATGCAAGCAATGTATGATTCAACTGTGATCATACTCCAACTTTAATGTCAAAAACAAAATAAACAGAGCACCTTCACTTTTTATGGAGCATGGAACAAGCTACCCAATCACGGAGATGAAACTGATACTGGCTGTCTTTCGGAAATAGCTGGATGAGACACTTAGATTAATGAACTAATAACGAATAACTGTATGGCCTGCTCCCATTTGTGACCTTCCTTATCTTATAATAGTCATAAATGAGAGGAGTTCATTCAGCCTGTCCAGAACATAACATAACTGCACCATAACTGGGTCGTTATAACACCCCATTTTCACATGAAATACCTTTTATCATTTTACTGTATATTAACAAAAGTATTACTTTAGTGAAAGAACATACTGATACTCTTCATACAAAAAGTAATAAAACATGGACATTTGCAAATAGCAGCATCAATGATCTAGACTGGCATTTCATTTTAAAAACATTTGTCTGTTGTGTTGTCTTAAGTCTTAAGGTACACAACAATAGAGTTTTCCTACATTTGTGACACTTTTAGAAAGATGATCAAAATGATTTTGGATGCCTCTACATTAGTTAGTTTTTCTAAGTCTATATGATTCATTTTAACACAGTAACATTCCTTGTAATTCTATATTTTTTAGGTTACTTATAACCAAAGCATGCTGTAATCTAGCCCTGTCAGAATCATGTTGTTACTTAATCTCCCAAGGATTTTTGCTTTTATTACTATGTGGAATGTTTTAAGCCTCTCCTTCCCAGAATTTGCTCAGCAAATCTGCCATTGTCCCAAAATACCTCCTTTCTAGATGGAGCCCGAGCAATGCCCTGCTGGATTATGGAAAGACAGCTTTTCATTTTCCCTCTCTCCTGGTCCATTGGAACATAAGAGTTGAAATACTGAGCCATTTGTCATTATTATGATACTACCCATTTTTTTTCTAGTGAAAAATACACCTAGAAGTGATGAAAAACGCCACATAAACCCTTTCTTCCTTTTTGACTTTGCAACGTTGTAATGTTGTTCCTCTACTTTTAAAAAAAGGTAGTAAACATAATAATGTAAACTTTCCATGACTTCATCCTAAGGCTGTAAAGAGGAGGAACACAGACGAAATCAATGACTTATATATATATATGTATAAAGTTGTTTTAAGTACTCAGCAGACCTGGAGAACAGAGTGATCCATCTGGCCTGTCAGGTGATGACACCTTGATCTTATACATGACTTTTCTTTACAGCACAAAAAAATACAAGCTTTCCTGAAAGTGCATAACTGGCAACACCTTTACCACAAAACATCTTACAGTGTCTACAGGTACAGGTATTTCCTGTGCTACTCAATGCAGAAGTCAGCAAGTCACA